GGTCCGGCATTTCACAAATGTCGGACCCCTGCCGAAAGGAGAGGGTCCAGCGTTCGTGAAACGCTGGAGCCCCTATTCTGTCGGGAGGGGTCCGAAGTTCATGAAAGGCAGGACCCCTTAATATGAGGGGAGGGGTCCGGTGTTCCTGAAACGTTGGAACCCCTCTCCCCCAAAGGGGGTCCGGCGTTCCGCAAACGCCGGACCCGATTCTAAGGATAGGGGTCCGGTGTATATGAAACGCTGGACAGCCTTTCTGCCAAAAGGGGTACGACGTTTGTGAAACTCAAGAGCCCCTTAGTATGAGGGAGGGGTCCCGCTAGAGATTGCATAGTATGCAGAAAAAGGAAAGGCTATAGTCTCAGAAACCAGTGGGAACCAACAGTGTATTGAATTGATGTATCCAAGGGATGACGAACCCGGTTTCCAGCAGGTGTTGCTCCCGGCCAATAGATGGAGCAGCGTGACAGACAAGGCCTCAATCCTGGTGGTTCTCTCACCAATACCGTGATAGAGGCCTTGCAAAAGGACTTTCAAAAAAAAGGAAAAAAAAAGAAGGTTCAGGTGCAACCTGATGGCATGTGCAGCATCCGGGCCAAATGCGAAAAGACCTGAAAGTTAGTTCTACCAGCAATGACCCGACTTCCCAAGCTCTTCCCCCTCCACTCCCGGATGCAACCCCACCAATGATCCCTCCTCCGCCCCCCATCCCGGTTACCCCACCACCACTGTGACATCTCTGTTGAAATAAATACCCCTCAAAGGATAGTCATCTAAAGCACTGCCCAGGCGGAAGGGGAAACAACTACATTGCTATCGGAGGGATTCAAGTCCGAGTATCGGCGTGGAGCAACAAATTCCTCAATGGTGCAGTGCCACACAAAGATCAGCCTGAAGGGTCAGACAACTGACCGACACACCGGCAAAAGGGAGGAATAGGCAAGGCAAGCTGGCACCCATAGACACATCCTATAGTCCTTCCCCTAACTTACCCAAGGCTAGGCGGAACTCGGACTAACCGGAGTGACTTATTTCCCTACACTGTCCTAGAGTCTAAGCCATGCATGAGCTGACCCCGTCATGTACCTGATAGACTCCCCCAACCAAGTATTATAGTTGTAACATGTTATTTGTTAAAATAGTACATTATTTTGTGTACTATTCTTAAACGAATTGATTAAGCAGTGAAATGTAGCTCCTTGCATACTCATAACACGTACAAGCATGCCCTTAATACCTATGTGAAGGATGTATACGATATAAAAATGTTAGGTACTCCAAGCATACACTCCGACATACCATTAGTTCCTATGTGAAGGATTTTTCTGGGCAATAACTTGATCTCGCGGTATATAACTTGTGCATCGAATATGTTCACCCCACATCGAAATCAACATCCATGCCGAAGTTACACCTTCCATCCCCGAAGTTACACCTTGCACACCCCTGCCCTTATTTTGCATCGCTCTTCCATGCATGTTCGTCATGCACGTTCGTGGTTCCTTTTATGTAATATATAACTTGTGCGTGGGATACGTCTGCCCACATCGAAATCGAAGCCCTGACCAAGCATCCAATTTTATTGTGCTCACGATCAATTATTAGGCTAGCTTGATTTGAAATTGCATGCACAACATTTCCGACAATGTCATATATATATAGTGCAACCCGAAACTTTTTCTCGGCAAGGGTGCTGGCGGGTCGGTCACAGGGCAGGGCGTCTCGCTCGATAACTTCGACGTGGATGGAACGAGTCCAGAAACACGTAAGTTCTCGGGCGGCGCCCCAGTCCCGCTGACCCGGACAGATCCTTGCCTTTTTGTCACAATAATGTTGGGCAGGATCCATCCCCACTCATGCCTGAAGATACCAATTGCGGACCCTTGCCCTTATTTGGCATCTCTCTTCAATGCACGTGCTCGTAACAAGTCGCAAACTAAATGTCCATTTACAGACGAAACTGTGTACGAGAAGGTGTAAAGATTCACGTACGATGGATATTCAAATGTATAAGTTCCCAGGGACCCTATCTGGTCATCATTGTGCGTAGTGAGGAGCAAAGAGCCCAGGTTATGAAGTCATTTATTGTATTGAACTGTCGATCAGATACATCCGCCACACACCCAACTGCCTACACGCCACATCATGTACAGTTGTTATGAGATAAGGAACCGTCTCATTAACGGGTGGTAGATACATCCGGCCCAAACACTCCATTCGCTGAACGTGCATGAATGCATACATAGAGATAGATTTATAGACAAAGAGAGAGTAACTATTATTGGAAATTCCTGAACAAGGCAGATAACCATTAGGAACTTGTATTGAACACTACAAGTGGAAAAGTAACGGGTTGCCTGTGGAACGGATATATCCTGCCCATACAATTGAATTCGTTGAATTATCGACGAAGCCAAATGACGAGACAGATAGATAGATAGATAGATAGATAGATAGATAGATAGATAGATAGATAGATAGATAGATAGATAGATAAATAGATAGATAGATAGATAGATAGATAGATAGATAGAAAGATAGATAGATCATAGATAGATAGATAGATAGATAGATAGATAGATAGATAGATAGATAGATAGATAGATAGATAGATAGATAGATAGATAGATAGAAAGATAGAAAGATAGATAGATAGATAGATAGATAGATAGATAGATAGATAGATAGAT